GCACAGGCAGTTAAACATGGCTGCAAGAAGCATGGCATCTGGGGAAAAGAGTGCTTAAAAGCATAAGGAAGGGGTATTTAACAGCCTGGGAGAATCTGTGATTAAAAGGTACACAGACTGAGAGAGGGTTGTCCAGCATCCTTGTTGGAAACTTAACCTGCACCCTTCAGCCTTATTAACTCAGTATACTCAGCTGTAGGTATCTTTGAGTCTTAAGGATTGTTCTAGAGATCTACAGGGTAGTCTGGAAGTGCCAAGGAATTCTCCTGCCCCAATCCAAAGCAGCACTTAGCTAGTGTCTTTTGGAAGGTGGTGTATCAATACCCCAGCTCCCTCACTCCACAGGTGGGATAACTTCTGAAGCTTGGGTTTTAGAGTTTTCTAGAATTTGTCTGCTGGAGTAAACTCCAGTACCCACAGTGATAACTGGCTTTATGACATACCCTTTATTGGCCAGATCATTTCTCCCACTCCCCTCTTGGGGCCCCTGGAATCTCCTCCCCCAAAACATGTCTTGCCCCTAGTTCCTTATCTCAAAGTCTGCTTCCGGGGAAATTCAAACTAAGACAGTTTTTGAGGAGGAGAGCAATGTGGTCAGGTTTGGTTTTCTAAAGAAGGGCCACTCGTTTTGTCCCTGTGGTTGGAAAGAGTCTCTGAGTTGGACAATTACGAGTTACATTTTCATGTCTCAGAGTAGACAAGAGATAGAAGACAGCCAGTTATGATATTCCCAGATGGTTATAGGACATGGACCATTCTTCCAGACCTGGAAATGCTAACAGTGTTTCATGACCACAGCCCTGATCAGCTTGAATCACCCTTCCTCACACCCACTTCAAATACCTGTGCGGAAAGACTAAATCTGGCTAAAGGTGACACAACCTACCCCCACCCGTGTGTTCATGCCGGCACTCAATAGGAAAACAGGGCCAGGTGTGGTGGCTCATGCCTGTAATCCCAGCACTTTGGGAGGCCAAGGTGGGTGGATCACCTGAGGTCAGGAGTTCAGGACCAGCCTGCCCAACATGGTGAAACCCCATCTCTACTAAAAATACAAAAAAAAAAACAAAAAAAATTAGCTGACCCTGGTGATGGGTGCCCATAATCCCATCTACTTGGGAGGCTGAGGCAGGAGAATCGCTTGACCTCAGGAGGCAGAGGCTGCAGTGAGCCAAGATTGTGCCACTGCACTCTAGCCTGGGTGAAAAGAAGAAAGAAAGAAAACAGAAGAAAAGGGCACTGCATGCTGGAAGGTGCCCTAAGATAGGACGGCACAGAGGGGGTCTCCTAAACTACACGATCTTTCTTCCAGACCCTTCCTTCCAGGCTGTCGTCATGAAACAGTATTAGCATTTCTCCTAACGCATCCTGCAGAGCTCCAGTATTTTCAGAGCCCCAACTTTGTGTAACCACAGTTGCACCTCTGGCTACTTTTCAAAGTCCAAGGATAACCTAGACCAGCCAGATGCTTCCAGGTCCTGCCAATAACTAGGCCCAGCTTTGGAAGGAAGGATGAGGTCAGGATGCTCCCGTCCCTGCTGGCTCCCAGAGAGCATTCCTCTCCTCCCCTAAGCCTCACAACTCCCAGGAGCAGATTCTACAGATGGAAGCCCCGAGGTCCAGGGAGGTTACAGGACTCACCCAGGGTTGCTCTGCTTGGTGGGTGCAGGATTCAGGGCCAGGAGGACCCACACCCCAGGCACCTGGTCTGGTATATTTTCAGGCCCAGAGATGGGGAGTGACCTGTCCAAGGGGACTTCTGACAAAGGATGAATGAAACAGAGCATTCATTGAATACCTATTGCATGTCGTAGGCTGACAGTGGCCAGGTCCACATGGTCCCCAGCTGCTGTGTTCTCCAGAGGGATGATCAGATTTGTCTCAAGTGTCTTTTACATGGCCAATTGCCATGCATGTCTCATAATTCAAAAGGAGAAATTAACATTTAATAGAAAAGAAAAAAGAGATGGAGGAAAAAGGGAGGAGAGGAAGGAAGGAAGGAAGGACGGAAGAAAGGAAGGAAGGAAGAGGAGGGGAGGGGAGGGGAGGGAAGGAGGGAGGGAGGGAAGGGAGAGAAAGAAGAGAGGGAGGGAGAAAAGAAGAAAGGAAGGGATACAGGGAGAAAGGAGAGAAGGAAGGAAGGAAGGAGGGGGGAAGGAAAGAAGGAAGGAAGGAAGAGAGGAAGGGAGGGAGGGAAGGGAGGGAGGGTGACAAGGGAGGGAGGGAGGGTGACAATCCTCAGAAGGCCTGCTCCTCAGGGACATGAAGTGGAATATGAATGCCGACTTTTAACCCTGGTTCCAACTCCTGAGTGCTTTACGCCAGGCAGCAAGGTTCTCAACGTCCCAGTGCCTCAGTGTTCTGATTTATTTGATGGAAGCCTGCCTCATCTATTCGTGTATTGCATTCTTAAACAGAGAAAACCACAACAGGGAAGATAGCAATACTAATAACATCCAGCAGAGCATGCTGCGTGCCCAGCCCTGTTCCTGATGCTCCCCAACCTTGGTTCCTTGGATGCTCAGAACAGCCCTCGGAGCAGACAGAGGCTGCCCCGCTCACACACAGAAAAACCGAGACACAAGTGGTCAAGTTACTTGTGCAGGGCCACCGGGCTGGGGATGGGCAGAGCTGGAGTGTGTGGAGACAGGGTCGGGGTTTGTCACCCCTGTGCTGGTGCCGCTCTGCCTCTGCACTCCAGCCAGGCCTCAGCTGATGGGGACATCACAGCTGCATGGGAGAACATTCACACCGTGACGCTGGGGACACAGCAGGAGGTGCCACCTGTTCCTTTCGTGGCCCACTGGCTTTCGGTCCCATCATAATCTGCCTCCTGAATCCGCAACCTTCTCTGTGCCTGCTGAGCATTCTCTTAATTTAACCAAAGCCTCGCCCTGTCCCCGTTAGGACGACCACTCCTAACAGGAGTCCCCTGCCTGTGAAGGCCAACCAGTCTGGGCTCAGCACCCCATTATCATTCTGCCACTTTCCAAAGGAAATTATAAGCACTTTGTGTCAACCCTCGTCCGTCCCCAGCAGCCGCTCCGCAGGAAAGCGATTGAGGTCAGAGAAGGCAGACAGCCTACCCATCACGCCCGCCACGGCCATTCCTCATGCAGTGACATGCAATCTCCTGCCAAGGGTCACCTCTGGGGAAGCGATTCCTTCAAGCCCAGAACAAGTGCCAAATTGCAGCTTTGCCGAATAATCATGTGGAACACATCGAAAATAGCCGTCTCGGTAATAAATGCTTAACCAAAGCAGCCCCTTCCTCCGACTTAACCAGGAGCATATTTACTGTAAATATATTAACCTATTCACGCTGCAGTACAGGGCCCAGGAGTCCGCTTCCCAGGCAGCAAAGAGCAAAGCCCCGTCGGGCTGGGAAGGAGCAAGCAGCAAAGGCGAGGACTGTGTCCGCCAGGAAAAGGAAGAGGCAGGAAAAGGCGCCCTGGACAGGGAGCCTCCCGCACGCCCCACCCGACGGAGGAGTGGAGAGAAGGGGACTTGGCATTCTGCATCTTGCCGTCACCTCTGTGCCCCACGGAGTCTGTGAATTAAGACTGGCTCCAAAAGAAGTGGCCTTTGTGTTTCTCCTTCATCTCCTGCTCACATGGGAAGTCCATAGGGTGACAGCTCCGAACTCCACAGGATGAATCAGGGTCAGGGGAGAGGAGGGGAAGAAAGGAGAGAGAGAAAGGGCAGAGAGACAGAGGGGAGGGTGATGGTGGGAGACAGAAATATGGATGAGAAATGGGGAAGAATCAAGACGATGACTAGAAGCCTGAAAGCAAGAGAAAGCAATCTAAGATGAGGAAAAGAGCACAGCAGAAAGAAAACATTCTGGAGGAGAGAGGAGGGGCAGAGAGGGAACAAGGCGGAGGTGGCAAGACGGAGATTCAGAGGGCACGGTCACCTCTGGAAGGCCGGGTTTTGTTTCCACTGGGAAGAAAAAATGTTCTTTGTTATCGAAAGCCTTGAGTGACACCAGCAGCTCCTCCCACCCCTCTGTAACACACCAGCACCCAGGCTGGTGTGCACATACACAGGCACATTATAGTGTGCACATGCACGCACGCATGCACACATTTGTATGCACACAGACATATGCATGCACACACATATGCTCATTCCTGTGCACATACACACTAACATGTGCACATACTCAAGGTACACATATATCCACATGCACCACACATACATGCAGCACATGCAGCACACACACACATCACATGCACCACACAGACACACATACATCACATGTACCACACATACACACATACATGTGCATGCACATACTTATGTGCACACACACATACACACATATACACACACCTAAAGGTACACACATGCATGCACACATTCACACATGCACACATTCATACTTGCACAGTCGTGTGTACACACACATACTCAGATGCGCCCATTCACATGCACACGCTCATGTGCACACACACTCACATGCCCTCATATATGCACATATATGCACACATGCATGCATGCACACACACATCACAGACAGACACACAGTCATCTGCATCCACACACACACTCCTGCAGCCCACCCTGCTGTGAACCTTCTCCAGTCCCAGAATACAGAGAGCAATATGTGGTCTGAGCCAAAGGAAACAGACCAAAGCCAGCCTGGGTCTTGGTGTGGGGGTGAAGAGGAAAGAGATCCGGACGACGCAGCCCAGGTCAGGGGCCCTGAGAGGACCAGCAATGCAATTGAAATGGGAACGAACCGTAGAACCCACTGTGAAGCTGCAGCCCCCTGGACCTGGGCCTCCATTCACCCTGTCTCAGGCTGCATTCTTAATTTTTTTTTTTTTTTTAAGTGGAGCTTTGCTCTTGTTGCCCAGGATGGAGTGCAGTTACCTGGGCGTGGTGGCACGTGCCTGTAATCCCAGCTATTCCAGAGGCTGAGGCAGGAGAATTGCTTGAACCTGGAGTGGAGGTTGCAGTGAGCTGAGATCGTGCCATTGCACTTCAGGCTGTGCTCTTAATCTGGCCATGGCCCCAGCTACCTAGACAGAGTCAGACACTGGCTCCAAGACCAGAGAAACCCCAGCAAAGGGCAGCCAGTTTCTGGGCAGAGTGAAGCCACCGGCTCCCTCTGGCTTGCAGCTTCTCCTTTCTGAAGTGGGTGGGCAGTTTTTGGCCAACCTTTTGCCTCGTTCTCTCCAGCCGCCCCTGCTAACTCCCAGTAATTTGCCAAAATTAACAGATTTATGGCAGCACGTTGGTTTGGATCAACTTTTCGTATGTACTTTGCAAGAGAAAAACATTTTCTTCTCCCCGACTTACTGTTTGCCCATTAATACGCTCCACATTCACTGGTGCCTAATGACTGTTCAAATTTTCTCTGTTCATAGAGAATGTTCTTGTTGTGATTAAGGGTGCCAGGGTGCTTGCAAGTACAAACACACCAAAGCCATAAAAAGGGCAATTAATTCTTTAAAAAAAATGCAAGAGAGTGGGAGAGATTAGATGCTCTGTTTACAGAAGAGCAAGAAAGAAAACAGATATTTCTAAGAAGTGTCCTTCCAGGACAGCAATGTCTCCAGTAAACCACTGGAAAAGATGTTGAAACATGAATGTTCATGGAAAATGCTGTCCAGCAGACATTTGGTTATTCAGCGACCATGTGTCAACTACTCATTATGGGTCTGGCTCTGGGATAATTCGTAAAGGAAGGCACAGGGTGTGGGTGAAGTGAACATCTGGGCCAGGACTGAAATCCCAGCTCTAGATAAGTCATCCCTTGCCTCTGAACCTCAGTTTACCCATCTGAAAAATAGGAGATGGAAATCCCAAGGGTGGCTATCAAAATTTAAGAGGGACGTGTGTATCAAGGGCTTTGTTTGCTGCTGGCACATAGTAGGTGTACAAGAACTGCCTGGTTCATCATTCGTTCATGCTCCTGAACAAGTCAGTGGCCATTTTAATGGCTTTGGTGTGTTTGTACTTGCAAGCACCCTGGCACCCTCAATCACAGCGGCAGCACTGTCTAACACCAGAGTACCTTCTCTGGGCCATGCCATGGGTCTGGGTTTAGAAGTTATAACTCCGAGAAAGGCAAGTTTCTGCACATGTACAGCTCACGATCCAACCGTGGGAGACAGAAGCTACTAAACATCTGCAATGGGGATGTGTCCAGTAGTGATAAATGCTTAAAGGGAAATCGAACAAATTAAGAGACGAGATAAGGCCCTGCTGGGCTGTGTTAGATGATGTCATCAGGGGCCTGGGGAGGCAGGCCAGTGAGGTGACGTGTGCAGACACGTGAGTCGGGTGTTGATATCTTCCTCCATCCCTCTCATCTTTCTGAAAAGTATGCTTAGGAAGCCCTGGCAAAGGACGGCGGCAAGTTGGCCTGTGCTCTAGCACTTGCTGCATGTTGTGAGAACTCTTAAAACAAAGGCCAGGACACACCCAGTGAGTGTTTCCCTTCCAGATAAGAAAAATATCCTGAGCACCTGCTATGCGCCAAGCGTTGTGCTCAGTAGTACGGGCGCAACTGCAGGGAAACCAGACGTGGTGCCTCCCTGCCTCCTGGCATTTAGAGCCTAGACGGAGGGCTGTAAATAACTACAGGCGCCATGATTATTTCATCCCAAACTGTGGCTGGTGTTGTCGGGAAGGAGCAGCAATCTTCGAGACCCGGGGGGGTGGGGGGGGTCCTGTTGGAGCAGACACCAGCAGAGGGATCCTCCCAGGAAGTGACAATGAAACTTGAAAAGGTAAGTAGGAGGTAGGGAGGGAGCGGAGGGTGAAAGAGGGAACAGTGTTTCCGATGGAGGGAACAACATGTGTGATTGCCAGGGCAGTAGGAAAACGCGTGGGCTTTGAAGTAAGGACTCGGGTTCAAATCCCAGCCCCACCACCTTCCACCTGTGTGACCTCGGCCAGGTAACTTAGGGTCTCATTCATAAAGTGAACTCAAGAAGACTCCCTTGTCTTGTCCTGAGGGCCTGTGTGAGAAGAATGTTAGCGGAGTGAAGTCCTAAAGCAAGGTTGGTTTCTTGTAAAACTGTCAGGTCAGGAGACAGGATGGCCTTGGGACAATGGTCAAGACATCTGGCTTCTGGTCCCTGTTCTGTCATTTTGACCCCCTCTGACGACCCTCCATTTCCCCCATTATAAAGTAAAGGGGTTCCATTCTCTGTTGTAGGAAAGTAACACGAAATCCACAGAATAAATATGTATCGAGGGCAGATGTTCATCCAGTAACAGCCCTACCCCTCCCCGTGGCTGGCTGCAGATTCCCTCATGGCCAAGACTCATCCTGTCTTATTGGGTTTCTCAGAATCAGATCACTTCTGCCTTCTGCAAAGGAGTCCTTGCCTCCTTCCCGGTCACCTCCTATCCTGCTGTGTTCCCATCAGCGGCTATGCCTTTGGTCAGCTCTGTGGGGTCCCTCTCCTCCTGACAACAGGACACGCCTAGAGCCACTCTTCTGCCCTGCATGCCCTCCCTAGGACACCTCATTCAGCTCACAGGTTCAATGCCATGTGGGTGTCGCCAGCCCCAATGTCTATGACCAGCCTCCCATGCCCACCTGCCTCCTCTTCATCTCCCTTGATGTCTAAACGACACCCAGACTTAACACCATCAAAAGCCAGACCCTGATTCCCACCTGACCCTCCCACACAACTTACTCCACCTGCACGGTTGTCCCCTATTGCAGCCTAAGATGGCACCACCCTCCTACTTGTTCAGAAAAAAGACCCGGCAGTCATCCTGGACTCCTCTCTCCATTCCACTCCAGATACAGCCAGCTCTGTTGCTTCCAACATCATCGCTCATACAGAGTCCACGAAATTCTCACCACCTCCCCAGCCACCACCCAAGTCCGGGCCACCTGCACCTCTCACCTCCAAATGTCCCCAGGCTTTCTGTGCCACTCTCCATCGTGGACTCTGCAAGTTAAAATGTATGTCAGGTCACATCCCTCCTCTGCTGGAGACACCCTCACCCGCATCCCATCTCCCTCAGAGGAAAAAGCCCAAGTTTCCACCTCTCACCCCACTCTGGTCCACACGGTGGCCTCAGGGCCTTTGCACTTCCCAGTCCCTTGGCCTGGGTTGCTCTTTCCCACATGCTACTCCCTTCCCTCTTCCCATCCCAGCTGTCACCTTAGGGAGGGCTTCCTGCCACTCCATGTAATAAGACAACACTACCTTCTCTGTCTCTCTCTTTCTCTCTTCTGTCTCTCTCTCTCTCTCTCTCTCTCCTCTCTTTCTCTCTCTCTCTCTCCCTTCCTCCCCTGCCCCATTCGAGAAGGCGAGCTCCTTGAGGCAGAGATCTTCGTCTGGTTTGTTTGGGGTTGATGGGGACACACAGTACATATTTGTTGAATGAATGATTTCTGTGACTCAAGTAATTATTCATTCACTAGCTGTTCGACCTCAGAAAGAAGACAATGGACTCTTTCTGGTGAGACCCAGAGCACCCCGCCTGCAAGGAGCCCAATCTTCCCTGAACCAGGACCCTGCCTAGAGGCTGACAGGAGAAGAGGGAGTAAGAACGGTGCTCCAGACCGAGCTCACTGGAAGCCCAGCTCAGCCACTGCCTCGCTGTGTCATCTTGGGCTTTCACTGCAGGTACCTGAGACTGTTTGCTCGCCCATAACATTGGAACGTGTTATGGATTAAATTGCTTCCCCCCAAAATATGTTGAGGTCTTAACTGCTGGAAAGGTGACCTGCGTTGGAAAGGGGCCTTTGCAGGTGTCATGAGTGAAGGTGAAGTCACACTGGCGTAGGCTGGGCCCTAAATCCAATGGCTGTTATTTTTCTAAGAAGAGGGAAATTTGGACACAGACACACAAAGAGGAACAACCAGCGTGTGAAGACAGAGGTAGAGATTGGAGTGAGGCGGCCACAAGCCAAGGAGACCACGGAGCTCCCAGAGGCCAGAAGAGGCAAGGGAGGCTCCTCCCCTAGAGGCTACAGAGGGAGCACAGCCCTGCCAGCATCTGGATTCAAGACTTCTGGCCTTCAGAACTGGGAAAGAATACATGTCTGCTGTTCCAAGCCCCCTCGTGCATGGTGCTTTGTCACAGTGGTCCTGGGACTAGTACAGAATAATAACCTCTACCTTCCCTGAGGACTGCTGGTACGCAGGGCTCCCAGAGGGCCAGGTCCTAACTGACCCTCCTCCAATGTCCTGCAGCCACCACTGATGCGCTGGAAGCCACTTCTGCTGGCCTTGATGAAGGGAAGGAAGCAGATGAGAAAGACGGTGTATGTGAGTCTCATTGAATCTATAGTCCACCGTAGAGAGAGGGCATTGTCCCCAAGATCTGAGCCCACAGTGGCCCCTTAAGGTCAGGTCTTCTCACCTGAGCAGAGGCCAGTAGCTTAGAGGAATGGCAACCACTGAACGGGCGCCCTGAGCACTCCACTTAAGCCTCCACTCCAGAGCCTCAGAGCTGCCAGCTTCTTCTCCCTGATCCCCCAGCAGAAATGTAGCCACATTCTCCATCAGATCCTTCTAAAGAAATCCCCTCCCTCCACTCCCCTGCTTTCCACCTGCAACTGTCTCTGCCCACTGGTACTCGGACCCAAGAGCTAATTGCAGGAGCTTCATCTTAAAGGAAACCACAAACACGCTCTCGCCCACGTTTTACGACTTTATAACTCACCAAATAAACCTGATTCCTATAACCATAAAACAAAGCCGAAATGAGTTGGACATGTACCAGCGAGGGGAAGCAGGAGGCGGGTGGAGATTGCCAGAGGGGGCTTTCAGCTGCGGAGTCACAGCTTTCTGTGTGGATGTCGGCATCACAGTCTTGCAGAAACTTAATATTCCAATCAGCACCCAAGCAAGGCATTAGAAGCCAAGGAGTGCATGAGTGCCCCCATAGCTGGGGGAATATTACTCACCAGGTCATGGTCGGCTGCATAAAATACAACCCTCATATATCATTATAACTGCCAGCCAACGACAGTTATAATTGAGACGGCAATAACTAGGAGAGAGTTCTTTAATTTAACATCCAATTATTACAAGTTATCACTTCTTAATAAATGTAATATAACAGACAATCAATGTTGCATGCGACGGCCCAGACTGCAATGGGATGGGAAATTTATATCCTGGGGAAAAAAATATACTCTGTGTAGTGTGTGTGCGTGTGCGTGCATGTGTGTGCATGTGTGTGCGTGCGTGTGTGTGTGTGCGTTTCAGCCTTTCTGAAGTCTGCAGTGGCTGTGATAAGCATTGCAAGACTCCAGCTATAAATAGCTGAGCCTGTCTCAATAGCTGCCATTGCCGCATTTGCATATGTACAATAACTCCAGGCCAAAGGAGAGGAAAGAGTAAGAAGGGAAAAAAGATCTCTTCTCCCTGGTGCAGGCTCTGAGAAACAGCAAGAGGAAGGAAGTAGGGCCCCCTGGCCCAGCAGGCACCAAAGCCCAGGGAGGCAGCTGGGGATATCACCCCAAACCTAACTTGGCAGGGCAATTTCTTTTTAAATAATTTTTTTTTGATGTAGGATATATATATATGCAGAAAAGTGAACACATCGTGAGTATGCAACTTGATGGTATTTTACTAGGTCTATAGCACCCAAGGATTCAGCCCTCAGGTTAATAAATATAAATTACCAGCACCCCAAAAACAGTTCTTAAGCCCCAGCACCTCCCTTGTTACACCACAAAGATAACTACTCTTTCCGCATTTTCAGCTCTATAGATTGCTTTCGCCTGGTTTTGAACTTTCCGTAAATGGACCCACACAGTATGATGTCTGTTATGTGTGGCTTCTTGGCTCAATATTATTTTTTGAGGTTCATGCCTGTTGTTGCATGCGGTGCTTGACAGCAGTTTGTTCATTTTTACTTCTAGATGATATTCCTCTGTGGGAACCTGTCACCGCTGACTCATCCACTCTGTCACTGGTGGACATTTGGGTAGTTTTTAGTTGGGGACTCTTACACATAGTGCTGTGATGAATATTCCTGTGTTTGTCTTTGGTGAACATATGTAGATGTTTCTATTGGGTGTGTCCCTAGGAGTGGATTTGTTAGGCTGTAGGGTAGGTGTATGTTCAGCTTTAGTAGATGCTGAAAAACAGATCTTCAAAGTGGTTGTACCATTTTGCATTCTATCAACTAAGAGAGTTCCAGTTACTCCAAATCTTCATCAAAGCTTGGTATTATGTTTTATTGTGTTAGCCACCCTGGTGGGTTTGTAGTGGGATCTTGGCGTGTTTTAATTTGCATTTTTCTGGCCACTAGTGAATGAGGTTGCACACCTTTTGTTCTGTTTGTCCTCTTTCGTCAAGTTCCTGATCAAGTGTTTTGCCTGTTCTTTCAATTGGGTTGTCTTTTTTTTTTTACCCCGGAACAAATCTTTGCCAGTTGCATGTATTGCAAATAATTTTCTCCCACTGTGTGGCTTGCCTTTTTACTCTGTTTCTGTTAACAAAGAGATATTTTTAATTTTTAATATTAATACAATTTTCAAATTTTTGCTTTAATAGTTCTTTTTCTGTTCAATACAGAATTTTGATCATTTTTAAAGGAAATCAGTTCAAAATGAGGTTTAGCTAGACTTTCAGACGAATAAATTGGCTGGGTAGTTTAGTTTCTGTTTTTATTTTTGCTTTTGATCCACTTACTTACCCCCCAACCCCATGCGCATGGATTCACTGGGTGGAGAGTGGGGTATTATGCACTCACTGCTCACCCATCATACATTTATTCATGTATTCATTTATTGAGACTTACATACTAGACGCTATGCTAAGTACTAGAGTCACAGAGATGAATATGACAGACACTTTTCCTGGCCTTAAGAAATATAGAACTCCTATAAGGAAACAAGAGAAAATTCTTTGTGACCTTGAGTTTGGGAAAGATTTCTTAAATAAGACACAAAAGGAGCAAAAACACATGAGTTATACAACTTTGAAAATCAACATATTGAACTTGATCAAAATTAAATAATTGAGCTTTATGAAAGACACTATTAAGAAGGGCTGATAAAAAACCATTGCAATAATAAAGTAAAATGATGTCTGTCCCAGGAAGTTTAGTGAATGATGCCATGATTCCAGCCACTTTTACCATTATTTCTCCATATATTTATCCATTCAACAAGTGAATTAGTGCTGCATGTATTCACCTACTCAGTAGGAATTTATGGAGCACATACTACACGGCAGGGATTGTACTAGGCCCTGGAGAATCGCTGTGTCTTCAAGGAGCTCACACTTGAAGAAGAATGGGCAAGCAGACATGTGACAGGACGTGATGTGACGAGGGCTGCTGTGGAAATAGAGGCAGATGTTGTGGGAACAATCAGGAGAACACCAGGAGGGTTTCCTTGAGGAGGCGATGTTTGAACTTGGCCTTGAAAGATGAGTACCAGAAAGTGTAGCCAAAGGTGTGCAGACAGGAAACAGGTAGCCTGAATGTCATTTCAAGACATCGTGGAACATCAAATGAAAGGGCAAGATGTGAATCTGGAGAATCAGCAGTTACATCCATGTCTCATGGCATCGGAGTGCCTTGAGGCAGATTTGCATCTCACTGTGCAGGTGCTGAGAAAGATCAGGAAGATGAGAACGTCCTCTTGTCAGATGAAGAGCTGTCACACTGCAAATAGAGCAGATGGTATTCAGAACAGGAATTTGGAGTTTGGTGGCCAGGCTTGGATTGTGACTACATGACCAGAGCTACTCCAGGCCTTACTTTCCTCACCTGTAAAATGGAAGTGATAATGATCATGAACACTCATTGATGACCTGCTCTGTACCCAGCACTGCTCTAATGCTCTAAGAGCTCTGTAAGTCATTATTTAATCTTCTCAATCTCCCTGCAAGGTGGATTTTAAATCACTTTCCCTATTTAACAGATGAGGAAACAGAGGTCACCCGGCTGGTAAGGATCAGAGCCAAGATGCAAGCCCAGGTCATCTTGCTCCAGGGTCTGGCTCTCTAACCACTGCCTGAAGCTGTTTGATAGTGGGGCCGGCATCCTAGGGCTGCCATGAGGACTGACGGAGGCGATGCACTAACACCTGACCCAAGCTCAATGCTGGGGTCGGAACTCAGATTCCCTAAGTGCCAGCTGCCATTAATAAGGAGCCCAGACCATCTAGAGGCTGGGAACGTCTCTTACCAAAGGCACTGGTCTCCAACAGGACATTCTGGTCTCCTTCAACTTACACAGCCCTGCCTCCAAATGCAGTTCACACACAATATCTAACTAGAGCCCCACCTCTGAGCTCCCAGGGACGATACCGCAGATTTCACAGATGAGGAAGTGGAGGCTTTAAGCCATGTGCCCACACTCACAGGGGAGTCAGAGGCGAGCTGGGGTTTGAAGCCCTGTTCATATGCATCTCAGTGCGGTAAACTCACTCATGCCCCATGGTCATGGAGACCCTGCGGGGCCTGGCATCAGAGTAAGGTGGCCCCTCAGGATGTTCATGCTCAAGCCCAGTGTAGATCGATACAGATAGTAGCAAGAGTTCTCTAAGCGAAGGTAACACATGGAAATCTGTTGAAACAGGCAATATTAGCTTCAGCTGCAGTAACAAAATATCACAGATTGGGTGGCTTGAACAACAGAAATTTCTATTCTCACAGTTCCAGAGGCCAGAAGTCCAAGATCAAAGTGCCAGGAAATTCTGTTTCTGGTGAGGGCTCTCTTCCCCACTTGCAGACGGCCACCTTCTAGCTGGGCCCTCACATGGCCTTTCTTCTCCTTGTGTTTTGAAAGAGATCTCTGGTGTCCCTTCTTCTTATAAGAGCACCAGTCCTATTGGGTTAGAGCCCTGCCTTTATAACCTCATTTAACATTAATCATCTGCCTAAGGCCCTATATCCACAAAGTCACATTGGGGGTTAGGGCTTCAACATATGAACCTGGGGAGATCACAATTTAGTCTATAATGGGAGAGAATAAAAGCAGGGAGGGAGGAAGGAGAGACTAAAGCAGCAAGCAAAGAAAACAAGAGAGATGAGGAGGAGAATACAAAGAGAGGGCGATAAAGGAAAGGCGAGGTAAAGCAGGCTGGGATT